TAGTGTCTTCAATTTACAAGGTTGTAAGCTATTTTAAATTAATTTTTAATTTTAGAGTATTTTCTTGTAGCAAGACTTAAAATCACTTGTATCTCAAAAATGTCAAAAGATACAGCAAAACGATTAACATTTAAGTATACTATATAAGTTCCAACTTTTTATAAAAAACAATAATACATCTAAAAATTAAGAAAATGTTAAATATTATTTCATATGGATGACTCTAAAGGTAAGAGGTATTTATACAATATAGTTGGAATAACATAAAAAGAGAATGACGATATTAAACCACTCGTACAACTAATGTATAGATAAGATAGAAATATAGACAACAACATATTATCAAACAACTGGAAAGGGAAAGTTTGCCCGCGCCATGAGCCGAGTTCGTCTGCAAACCACGCACATACATGTGAATGGGTATCGATTTGAAATAGAAATATAATATATCAACTGGAAAGGGGAATGGTAGATGTACTAGCAATTGTGCATGGGGCAGAGGGGAGTGGTGAGGGGGTGAGGGGGAGGGGGGGGGGGGGAGTTGGCCCAAAAATGTCGAGCCTCAAAAAACGGCGGCGACAAACTATACTAACAATATTAAACAACTCATACGTCTAATATATAGATAAGATAAGACAGAAATATAATACATCAACTAGAAAGGGGAATGGTAGATGTACTAGCAATTAGGCATGGGCGGGGAGTTAGCCCAAAAACCTCGAACCACAAAAAACGGCGGCGACAACCTATACTACTAATATAAAAATGTCTTCTTAATACTGTCATTTGATCTGGTAACTATAACATTTTTAGGGGCCCCAAAAATGAATTTAATAAAACTTTTAGTGTAAATTGTGACAACTGAATAAATCTATAAATATTTTTTTTTTGTTTTAAATAACGATAAATTGGCTTTAAAAATCTTTAACAGTACATAAAAATCTAAACATTAATTAACAAGAAATAACAATAGGAACTTGCGGTAAGGCGGTAACTGTTCTAGGGCATTTCAGTCGCTAGGTGGAGGGGCGATGAAACCGGGCAGAGAGGGAGCATCCCAGAGTCCGAACGAATGGCTCCAAGTTGTAGGAAGATTCTCTGCCATAGTTGAATGGTCCATCTCCTGGGTTGACGGTAGTCCTCCTGGGCCCCAAAAGGCGCGCAGGGCGCTCTAAATTACAGCATTACCTCGCAGACTAAAACCAAGTTAAAAAACTTACACAACTTGGCATTTTTAACATTACGAAAATGCGATTCAAAACGATGAAAATCAGTCTGCGAGGTTAACTCGTAGAACGTCGCGCAGCCTATGACAAACCCGGCACCGGGGAGAAAACATGACGCATTGAGTGAAGCTTGAACAGTAACAAGGCAAACAACAAACTAACCTACTATACAAAAACACTTTGACCATAGATCATGAGTCGTGACATTCGCCGGTGGAAAGTAGTCACGGCTCACTGTTGTTATAAATGCAAAAAATATATAGTGCTGCACCCTGTTGGTAAATCTTATAACTTTTAATGCGTTATCTATCTATAAAAGAGGAACTATGTATGTGTGTGTGTGTGTGTGTAAGTGTATATACGTTATGGACTCCGAAACGGCTAGACAGATTGTAATGAAACTTTCAGGCATTGTTAAGCATCTTTCAAGGATGGTTCGAGTGAAGTTTGGTGCAGATCCGTCAAAAGGGCTCTGCCCTAGAGGGTTTTAAGTGGGCCAATGTCAGACTTTTTGATCTACAATGTTTACAAATAAATATAATTTAAAAGCAGATGTTTACTGTCACCAACTGTTTTGTAGGTTTGAATAATCACAACATTCTGTATTAGCATTAGTCATGATTTGAAATAGTGCAACAGTGTTTCTACAGAGTGCAGCACAGAAAACTATTTTACTTTTTAATAAGTCCAAATGTATTAAACCCCAATCGCAGCACACCTGTGCACTCAACAACGTTTAAATTCTCCAATCTTAAATATTAAAACATAAAAACCTTTATCAAAGTATTAAACAATAAAAGGGATGACTTTTTTACCCAGACAGCACAGGATGTTTTAAAAATATTTTATTTTAATCTTTAAAGTATATTTAAATGCATCCTATTCCACCCCCAATGTATCCTAAAAATATTTTAATAAAATATTGTGTTTTAATATTTTATAAATGTTATTAAAAAATTATTAAAAAATATATTTAAATATTTTAAATAATAATGATTTAGTATGAAAAGCATAATTATTCGTTGAGTAAATTGATTAAATAGTTCATAAAAACAAATTTCGAATAAAAAACTAGAACAAAATTTTTTGGCCCGGACGGGGTTTGAACCTGGTACCTTTGTCTTGTGAGCCTTCTACCATACCTCTGAGCTATCTGTGTTTGTTGGTTTTGAGAGTTTTCAAGTTGTCAAAGAGTAGCCGACAGTTGCAATGGTCGCAATACTTGAAATATTTTTGATACCACAGTATATATAATATGATTCTGTCTGTTTAGGCATCAAGTATATGAATTGTTTTTCTGGGAGTTGGAGATGATACTGCTTTTTGAATAAAGATTATTTAATTACAATTAGATTAGTAATGTTATTATAATTTATTATTATAACATTAATTAATATTTTCCCTTAAATTGTTCAAATATTAAACATTAACTAAAATAAGTTAAAGAATATTAATTTAAAAAAAAATTGCATTATTATAATTGTTATATATTAAGCAGGTGTTCCCAACTGTATCTATTATCACAACTATCACAACATCTGACTACATTTATTATAGATCCAATTTATTATAGATCCAATTTAGTATAGATCCCATAACCGTACCGACCATTTCCCAACGTTGGGCCAACAATAACAATGTGTGCTACTTGGGCGGACATCCGGTATGTTAAAAGTTCACTTTTATAAGATGCTCTAAACATTTTGTTTAGCTGTTTGGAAAAAGGAATTATTTTTGGAGTGATTTTAAGACAACTTTAATATACATGCCAGTTTTAGTATAGGCTACTTGATTTATTTTAAAAAGTCTTTTAGTCGTGGCCCTAAAACAATTCTTTAAGGAACAAGAAATTTGCTGTCAAAATATATTTTTTAAATCTGTGGGAAATATGTTTTACCCAGCTCGGTTGAAACAAATTACCAAAATATATTTTTAAAACTTAAACAGACTATTTATAAAATATTTCTATAATATTCTTTTTAAAGGGTGTTAAAAAGTGTTTTTAAAAATATTTTTACAGTTACAATTCTATAAAAATATTTTTAAACGCTATATTTTATGGTAAATAAAATATTTTAAAAATATCTTTTACATGAAAAGCTAAATTATTTTATTAAAAATATTTTGTAAATTATATTCAACCGAAAAATAGAATAGGCTATATTTACAAAATATATTTTTAAGACCATTAAAAAATCATTTTAAAATATTTTAAAACTATTATGTAAAAATATTATTCAAAAATTAAAAAAATATATTTAAAAAAAAAATATTAAAATATATAAAATATTTTTAAGATGGATATATATTTTAAAAATATTTATAAAATATCCTTGTGCTGTCTGGGTAATTTATGACAACAGCTAATTTGCAACCAAAAGGTGAGTGAGCGTAGCGAACGAACATCAACCTGGAGGCGAGTAAGCGTAGCGAACGAGCTAACCTGAAAACAAGTGAGCACAGCGAACGATTTCCAACCTGAAGGTGAGTGAGCGTAGCGAACGAACTTCAACCAAGGACGTGATTGAGCCATGCGAATACTTATGAAGTTAAGCGGGGCAAAGCCCGCGGGTACAGCTAGTATATCATAGAACCAACTTTTTAAGTTGAAACAGCTGACTAAATTCTTTAATTCCCTTTAAATATGAATACTCATAAGGTTAACATGGGGAACTACAGAGCCACTGGGGCGGAGCCCGAAAGGATTTTTGAGATAAGAATATGCCTATATGTTAATCAGGAATGTGAGCTATCATCATGCCAAATTTCAGCCAAATCCCTCTAGTAGTTAATGCGTGATTGAACTTCAAACAAACAAACAAATAAACAAACACACAAACTTTAACATTTATAATATTAGTAAGATTAATAATATTGATGTATTAAACATACAATAATTGTAAATAATAATTGTATTAAACATAAATAAATGATAAATGATAAATGATAAATGATTTATTCAGCCATTCAGTATTTACAAATATACAATAGGCATTGTCAAAAAACAGCCAAAATAACAATACAGAAAGCTGCAATAAACTAAAAACTATAAAATCAGCAAAACCATGCAGGTGCACAAGCAAGCAAAATCAATAAATATAGTACATATACCTTTCAGATTCCTATTCTAAGGTACAACAATTGTATGCAATTATTGTACGTTATAGCCCTTTTAGCTCTAAAGAAACGGTACATTTCCCGTAGCTCTGAAAATTATAATTCAAAAAGTTATGGCAACTTTTTTGAGTAAAATTTTTAGTATAATTTTCTCATAAAACCCAATATTATAATTACGAGAAAATTCTAGAATATAAAAATGTTTGAACGTCTTTGATTAAAAGCTATTATTAACTTCATAATGATGTACTAGAATTTAATAGGTCTATATATATCTTCCACGATAAGGGAAGGGAGGTTTATAATCAATGATACTTGTGACTTGATCAAAATACTTTATTCCAAGTTGTACAACGGGTGTATATTGCTAGCACCGTGGTCTAGAACTGCGGTGCCCGTCACGGGAGAGACGTATTAAATAATCGAATTCTTGGCACAGTCACAACACATACGGGTTCGGATGGCTTCCCCTATTTAGGCATAGACAAACTGTTTTGTGTATAATCTTTAGCTCAAGTACTTCCTCATGCAATTCCTAATCTACCTGCGCGACGGGATAGACAAGAAAAAAATGAAGTTCTTGTTCTTCTACTTCTCATATCCAATAACCAAACATATAACCTCAAAGTGTGTTTACTTCTTTTTTGTTATTCTATTGCTATTCGATACTTCTATCCAACATCCAACCAAAATCTAATCTATCAAAATGGCGAATCGTACGGTAAAAGATGCGAAGTCAGTACGCGGTACTAATCCTCAATATTTGATAGAAAAAATTATTAGATCGAGAATTTATGATAGTAAATACTGGAAAGAAGAATGTTTTGCTTTATCAGCCGAACTTGTTGTGGACAAAGCTATGGAGCTACGGTTTATTGGAGGAGTCTTTGGTGGCAACATCAAACCTACTCCGTTCTTATGCCTAACTTTGAAAATGCTACAGATTCAACCAGAAAAGGATATTATCGTTGAATTCTTGAAAAACGAAGACTTCAAATATGTACGTGCACTCGGAGCTTTTTATATGAGGTTAGTAGGAACTTCTATTGACTGTTATAAATATTTGGAACCCCTGTATAACGACAGCAGGAAGTTGAGGCGTCAGAATAGGCAAGGACAGTTTGAGTTGGTACACATGGATGAATTTATTGACGAGTTGTTAACACAAGAAAGAGTCTGTGACGTAATTTTGCCTAGAATTCAAAAGCGACATGTCCTTGAAGAAAACAATGAGATTGAAACAAAAGTGTCTGCCCTTGATGATGATTTAGAAGATGGCATGGAAACATCTGGAGATGAAGAAGAGGAGGAGCCAGAACCCGTACCTGATAAGTATGCCCTTACTCCTGCAGACACTCATAGGTCTAAGAAGAGAGAGGAGAAAAGATCGCCAGTAAGACGCGGGAGATCAGCAGACAGAGAAAATGCTAAAGAACGTGACAGGAGGCACAGAGAAAAAGACAGAGATCGTGACCGTGACAGGGGTAAACCTGAAAAGGAGAGACATAGGGATCGTGAAAGGAGTCGTAGCAGAGAAAAAGATAGACGTCATCGGTCAAAGACTCCTGTCAGGTCAAGCCATAGGGACAAGGAAAGAGATAGGGAAAGAGAGCGTGACAAAAAGTCAAGAAGAGAGAGAGAAGAGAGGGTATACGATCGAGATCCAGAGAGAAACTTTGACAGAGATTACGAAAGAGGTTATGATAGAGATCATGATAGAGGACATGAAAGAGATCATGATCGAGGCCATGAAAGAGAATATGATAGAGGCTATGATCGGGAATATGAACGTGATTCAAAGCGCAAAGAGAGGGACCGTGACCGAGACAGGCTTAGATATTAAAGTTTTTCATTTTGTGTGTGTACATAGTTTGATGTGGATTCTTTTATAAATGTCATTAAACCGCAAGTAAATTTAGGCTAATAATTATTTATTTATTTAGGTACCTTAAGCTCAGTAACCTAATTATAGTCCTCGCCACCCTAACTTGAGACAGCCCAAAGCCGCAAGCCCTATATGTAGGCCTAGTGCGGCCTTGGGCTGCCTCAAGCTAGGGTGGCGAGGACTATAGTAACTTAGCCTTATGTAAGTTTTAATAAGTAGGGTGCTATAGGTGAATCAGTGGAGCTGATAGGAATTTCAAATTATTGAATCAGATTTAAGCCCCAAAACTGGGGATATTGACCTAGATGTAACTTAGGCCTACCTATTTAAAATACAGTAATCCACCTAGGCTGTTAGCGGTGTCAAATGTTAAAATCAAGATGCTAGACATAGGTACGGTAATACTGAACTTATACTACTTATGTTTTATTGCATTTTTTGCCTTATCTACCTAAATCAGACTATTTTAAAAGCACTTTTTACCATTTGCGCTTTTGGGGGAAATGAATTTAACTTATTTCACCCTGAAAAAGGTGTTTGAAAATGAAGAAAAATGCTAGAAATTGGCGATTTTATACGCATGAAAATTTTTTTGGGTACAGTTTCATAACTGGACTAGCTTATCCTAATATCGATTGAAACTATCAAATTTAAAATATTGTTTAATAATCGATATAGGCCTATTTATAAGGTAACCTAAGTAAGTTATCAGTTTTAAAATTATGTTTACTGTCATAGCCTTAGAACCTAACCAACCAAACCTGCTGATAGTGAAAACATCGAATGAAGGTATACTAATAATCGGTACCGGTAGCCTATTTAGCATAGCTAAGTTAAGAAACTGTACCCAACTTCTTTTTACTTTGTGTCAATACCGTAACTTAATACTAGGCCTAACCTAACCTTAACATAACCAGGGTTTACCCAAAATCTGTCATTTTGGCTCATTGTTAACCTAAGCATGGGCTAGGTTAGGTAATAGGTGTACTACATTAGGCCTGACATTAACTTATCACTTGAACTTAAATATTTTTACAAAAAAAAAAAAACAATTACAGAACTTTGATATCCAAATCCATTGTAAATAGCTTGATATCAATTGTTACAGTAATTCTGGAAGTTTTGGTTTTTGATTTGGCTAAGTTTGGTTATCGATCGAATCAATAGGCCTACTTTAACCAACTTATGTTTTCATAATATAAGTTAAGGGCACTTGATATCAAAGTTTTGCTGAACAAATTTAACCACACAGGCACCAATAAGCTTAACCCTCCGAGTGTCCCTTGTTTTGGCCTTAATGTCTGCCTATTTTTTGCTCATTTGCAAGGTTTTATTAAAACGGATCCGAGAAGCTTAAAAACAATGTTAATTATACTGTTCTATATACCATTTTGTTTGGAAAATCATGGGCTTCAATATTATACATAAAACATAAGGAACATTTGTTTAAAAAAAAATTTTTAGGTAAAAAAAATATTTTGGAAAATGTTCAAAAAAAAAAAATAAGTTCGCGCTCAATGAAATTGTATAAATTATAGGCCTATAAATATTTGAAAATAGCCACTTTGTTCTAAATTTTATGAGGATTACAAATATATAATAATATAAGGAAGTAGATTTGCAAATAAATAAGTTATGGGCAAAAAACAGATTTCAGTACATAGCGTTTAGCTAAGAATGCATAGCCTAACCATAGCTAGGAATCTGGCTGATAATTTACATCAATATCACTACCTACTTCTTCAGGATCATCAACCAGCCCTTCAAAATCACTTAAATCTTCTTATAATGCACCACGTATATCACTACTTTTGATTTTTAACACTAAAACAATGATAAACGTAATAAAACACATCAGTCATCGGTGCGAGGTTAACCAAGCTGTTTACAAATACGCACGTCAGCTGTCTGCTACAATATTTTCGGAACTAAAATTAAAAGCGCTTAGAGACAGACCTCCGGAGAAAGCTCTGAATCTGCCAAATAAAACGATAGGTACCTAACTCGATCCAGTTCAATCCGATTTTGTCAGTCATAGAGCCTTCGCCGTAAACAGTGTTTGTGAGTCGATGCATCGACACAAAACACTACACAAAGTGTGTTATGTGTCGAAGCATCGACAAATAACACTCGGAGGGTTAAGTAAAAAAACTTAATTTTTATGAAAAAATGTTTTTTTCTGATTTGTTAAGTTAGGAATTCTCCAGATTATCAATTTGAGAATATGCATGAAATTTACATCTCCATTTTCCGAGAGTAGGGCCTAAGATTAATTTAATATACCGTAATAAGTAGTTAGGCTATAACTGTTAACTCATTCGACAGGTCTAATTGACTCGCCCTCAAGTTCACTTGATAAATTGATTAAGTCACAAGGATGTTTGAGGATTGTTTAGCTTGAAGGCAAATGCAGGTTGAAAAACCTACCGAAATCTTTATAAAATTAAAAGACATTGCATTTTAAACTTTACATAACTTAAAGCTAAGTGCAAGTGTGTTCTGACCTCTTCTTATGGGCAGAGCTCCTCTTAGTTCTAAAATCAGCTTACTCATTGAAATAAACTAAATATTTTGTAAAATAAAGAAAAACAAAATTATAATTTCTGTAGGCCTAACTCTAATACTATAGGTCGGCCAGTTAGTAAGCGTCCTCCTCGTAGCATTGGTGCGAACGAGAGATACCGAGCTGTGGGAGTGAGACAGACTGTGGCTCTTCCCCCACTCCGCTGCCGTCCCACCCCAAACCTTCCCAAACACAGGTAATCAAATTAAACTATACAGCTGATCAAAATGTAAACAATTACGTTCTTCATAACTTGAGAAAAATAGGTCCTGCAAATAATATTGTATCTATATATACTATTATATTATCCATAGGCCTACTATCTATAATATTAGGCTATAGCCTAAATCGCATCAATATTTGTGCATAATGAAATGTTAATTAGGCCTATATCATTGTGTAAGCAGTTCCATTTGGTAACACAGATTTCCAACTCCCACGACACCGGGGTGGCGCCGTGTCGGTGTCGTGCCGGTATCGTGTTGTGCAGTGTGAAAACGGCCATTGGCGGAGAGGGGGAACATACCCTCCCTCGCCGTTACCTCCCCTACATACATGCGCTAAAAATTTCGCACAGGTCGTTTTCTAACCGGCCGACCTTTAGATATTTTTACTTATAATTGTATAAAATCTAAAAATTTAACCAAGCAGTAGGGTTTTGCAGTTTTCTTATAACAGCCTGTGTGGAAAATAGCCTAACTGTAATTACAAGTCGCAAGTTGTTGGTGAAATTGGCTTTTTAAAATTATCATGTAAAATAGAGTAATCTAGCTTCTAGCTATGAAATAACCTATGGCAACCTAGCTAATCAAACATAGGAAGAACCGATGGCTTGCTTAATCCAAACACAAACCCTTATAGCTTTAAGGCGACTACATTTTTCATGGCTTATTTGATGAAGACTCGTAGGTTTTGTAACCCAGTAGCATAATAGATCCCTCAGCTGACCCCAGGTCTTCCCGACACTCAAGGCTTCCTTCATTATTGTTCTCCTCCAGGTGTCACAGGGTCTTCCTCTCTTTCTGGTCCCTTGGGGATTCCATTCCAGGGCCTTCTTTTCAATTGCTCCATCTGTCTTCCGAAGAGTGTGACCCAGCCACCTCCACTTCTGTCTTTTGATTTCTAGGCTGATCTTTTGTTGCCTTGTTGCCTCCCAAAGCTGTTCATTTGATATAGTGTTTGGCCAGAACACTCTCTTTAAACGTCTGAGACACCTGTTAACAAACACCTGGAGCTGAGAAGTACTACGCTGATCAATTTTCCAAGTTTCACTGACATATAGAAGGGCAGACTTGACGTTTGTGTTGAAGATGCGGATTTTGGTTTTCATTGAAATGTTTCTATTTCACCATATTGGATAAAGCTGAATAAATGCTGCATTAGCTTTCCCAATGCGGCTCCTAACATCTTCCTTTGCTCCTCCGTCTGCTGTGACTTTGCTTCCGAGGTATTGGAAAGAGCCAGCCTCTTCAATCACCTTCCCATTTAGTTCTAAGACTTGGGCTCCTCTGGAATTCAACGTCATTTCCTTTGTCTTATTTACATTTATCTTAAGACCCACCTCTTCAGCCTCTCTTTGTAGAGAACTTAGTTTCGCCTGAATATCAGTGTACCTCTGGGCAATCAAGCAAAGGTCGTCAGCAAAGTCAAGGTAATCTAACCGCTCCCTTAGTCCCCACTGCACTCCCCGCCTTCTATTATTTGTTACTCTCGTCATAACTGAGTCAAGCACCAAAAGGCGGAAAACTCGCTCAAGTTCAAGGTCATGGGGACCGTGGGATCGCGATTTTACTACCAACAATGGTCGGTAAATCACCAAATGAAAACCTTCATAAATACAATATCTGCGGATAAGATTGCTTGCAAATAAAATCAATATTGCTTGATACATTTAGCACCGGAACAGTATTGGTGATAAAATGCAGCCCTGGCGAACACCTATTTTAACTGGGATTGCTCCAGTCAACTTTCCTTGGTGCAAAACCTGACACTGGAAATCAAATCATTGTACATGGCTTTGATGATATTTATTATTTTAGGGGGTATCCCATACTCTTGTAGAACATGGCACAGCACCTGGTGTTTCACTGTGTCGAAGGCCTTCTCGAAATCTACAAATGCCAGGTAAAGAGTACTTTGAAATTCTTTGCTCTGTTCAAGTAGGATTCGGAGAGTACTAATTAAATCCACACAACTTCATGCTTCCCGAAAACCTGCCTGTTCTTTCCTCAGTTTTATTTCAATGGAACCTTTTATCCAGTTTAGAATTATTCTGGCCAGCACTTTGCTTGGGACTGACAAAAGGGTAATGCCTCTCAAATTTTTATTCGTGATAGTTATACTGAAAATGTTGAAGGTTAGATGAATTCAGCACTATCGCAACACTTCCAAGTTCAGTATAGCCTAACTTACAGTTAAGTAGTACCGGTAGGTATAAAATATAAGTTAGGCCAAGTGAATTTTTCCTTCTAATATTTGTTTGTGTATTGCATTGTAGCTTTCTTAAATCTGGTCGATTATGCTGTATATTTTGTAACGTAAAAATATATTTTTTACTTACCACTGCATTTTTTTTTCTTTATGAAAAATATCATGCAAAATCTGATTTTTCCATTCAAACTAGGCTCATTAACCTGTAGTGTGTTGATGACAAATTAATAAAATTCTACCGTACTACTGGACCTTTGATTATCAAGTACTCAGGCTAACTACCAGTTTCGTCCCTAAGTAACCATACAGGTTAGGCGCTGTGAGCGTGTTAGGTTATCAAGATCGATTTGTTCTTATAGTCAATCTAGGCCTAAATATAAAATAAAAGAAGTATCAAAAATAAAATATCCACCATTATTTGTTAATGCAGTATTAATAACTAAGTTATCAAACCCTTTGTAGTGTACAAAACACGATAGGCTTAACTTGTATGTAAATTATTAAAACTAGGAGTTTTATAAGGTAAGGAGGGAGAGAGAAGTTATGTTTCTGCTGCTCGTGGTGCATTGGACTACTGTACTTGTACTGAGTAGGCCTACGTTTGAATATCAAGAGACAACTTTAGTAAATACAAACTCTAGCCAGGTATTGAAAACCAGGTATATACACTTCAACCAGAATGTAGTATAATTTAATTTCCGATCTTGGAAATATGATTAAGAACCGGAGGGCGGGAATAACGGAGCAAGTGCCGAATAATAAATTAGGTACGAGTTATGAACGGTCCTACTTTTCATCACGATGCAAAAATACACAAACACAGAATAGTAGACCTCAGTAAAACAACCACGGTAATTTATTTCTCAATTAATTTGATTATATATAAAAATAAAATGAAATCTTCTAAAAGGAAACCTATGTAAATTTTCTATTAATTTTTTAAACACACAAATAAAATAAAATATTCTAAAGGAAACCTACGTATTTTTCTCAATAAATTTCGTTCAAACAGTAAAATAAAACAATAAAACAACTTTTAACAATACATACAGCTGATTCAAATCATGTATTTATTTATTTCCAACGGACATCTCCATTTTTAAATTAAACTGCAACAAAACACTAGCGAGTAAATGGAGAACTAATTGAGAGCGAGGGAAAGTAAATTTAGAGCGAGGGAAAATCAGCTGATCGATTTTCCCCCGCCCTAAATTAAAGCTTAGGAAACGACTACTTTCATTGATGTCAGCTGTTATCAAAAATATTTACTTTCTTTACGAAGTGATGAACAATTATTTTTAGGTCAGTAGCATTTTATAAAAATGTGTGTAGAGAGTGAATGTTCCAACTTAAGTCTAGTTATGATTTGTCATCAACTATAAAGCCCAATGATTTCAAATAGAGATTAGTCCAGAAATGGTCTATCTGGCAACTTTCTATCTCTTGTTTTCTTTACAAGAGGTGAGCACTCTGATGTAGCTCTACAATAGATCAACTGTGGAGGGGGCTGGCCCAAAGTGTAGAGAATGTGGATTTCAGGAACGTATTACCTGTGTTCAGGGGCTCTCTGCCGCCTCTAGGCAGCAAAGTTAGCTGCCCCCTCCCCCCACCCTCGTCAGCGCACTCACTGACCACACTAAGATTACATGCCCAATCCATGCCCTCCCAGCTGTTTTGTAGAAAAGTTATCAGCAATTACATGCTGTATCAACAAATCTAATTTCATTTTCTAATCTAAAACATCTAGTTCACACTTTTCTCCTTGATTTAAACCTAGAAAATGAATCAATAACTGAAAAAGTTAAGTCTAAGGAGTTCAGCAGTTAGCTGTCCTTCAATATTCAAGACTGCTAGTTAACAATGTCTTTCTTCAGAAGATCGGCTAAATAATATGTTGATATTTCAAGACAATGTTGACGAAGCCTATTGTAACTGTGTTATCTAACGGCAAATAAATTCTTGATTCTTGACATGAAATCAATCTTTCTGGTGAGCAGTTTGCTTCCAAATTTCTTAATGCTACATCTATTTGGACAAACTGATTGAAGATCTTCTTCTCTAATTTCTTTTAGAAGCCTTAACGGAGCGATTATTTTAGGTTTTTCAAGTCTTGCCTCAACACTTTTAATATAGGGTTTAATTTGTACAAGCTCATCAAAGAAGCTATATCTTCCTTCAACCTGATAAGTGATGAGATCGATCATCAGCTTCTCTTAGCTTATGTCCATATTACAGATGTCAATGTCATGAGTTTGACTTTTAATGTGTTCTGAAATCATTTTAAACTCAGTAAAGTATTTAAAATACAATAGCAATTTTCTAATAGCAAATTATATCAATTTTTGCAGTTCTCAAAATTAATTGCTCAACATTCAGTATTTTTTTAGATTAAAAACTCTTATTAGCCTATTTATTTATTATTTATCTTACATAATTTTGCCGACCTAGGCACACGCCTAATCCGCCTATTCGGAAATACGGCCCTGATAGACTATAGGGCCTAGGGTTCCGTACTCTTCTGTCAATTGGTGTTAGGCTAAGGGAAACATGTTATATTAAACTGCAAGTTTATGGGGATTGGAACAGTGTTCTTCGGATCAAGGCTGTCCAATGAAACTACGAAGGCTGACAGATCAAGGAAACTAACTTGTAACAATCATTGTATCAGAAACAAACTTAGCATTTTATTGCTTCTTCATCCTAAGCGTTGAATAAATGATCTTAGCTAATTTAGAAACTGTGTTTTTGTAATGACATAGCAACACCACAGAAAAGTCAAGTAGGCTACAGAGGAAACATTCAAGTGGTGTCTAGCACAAGTTAAAGAATGTACGTTTTATAAATGATGAATATCAGCCAACATTTACAACTAATGTTAGCAATCCTATAGGCCTATAAGATATTTAAACCACTATTTTTTTACAAATATCCGCCAAAATTTACAATTAAGCATAGAAAATACCATATTAATTAGGCCTATTTAAACCCCTTGATTGTTTAAAAAATTTTATTTAAATTTCAAAAATAGCAAGTACCTATAACTAGTTTTGTACACCAATTTGAAATATACAATAAGAAACACTCAGTACCGTTTGGGTCTCTTTATATCTCTAATTCCAAGGGTTACTTAAAAAACACTGTCAAAAAGCAAAATAAAAGATGAATAATGTATTGTATAATTAATTACACGATATATAGAAACAGTGAATGTACAGAATAATAGAATATACAGGATATAAATTTATGTATTTTATAATTAATTACACGATATATATACAAACAGTGAATGTACAGAATAATAGAATATAGCCTACAGGATATAACTTTGATATAATTATTAAAACCTTCACAAATGAAAAATATGTTTGTTTATATAGGACCGCACAAATCATCAGCTTAGCCAAAGATTTTGATTAAAACTCTTCATAGTTTCTAAATACTAACGTTTTCACAGCTTTAGGAAGTTTTAGCTGATATTAAAACAGATTTTTAATACACAACACATAAAACAAAAAGTAAAGAAAATACAGTAGAACCTCTTTAATCCGAACCCCCGTAATCCGAACGTCCACTAATCCGAACGCCTCATTGAACTGTACTCTATACACAGTACAGTAGTTATTTATTGTATACGTACGCACCGTTTACAACTGTTTCTATTGTAATTCAACGTACTGTTAATTTACTATTGTATTAAATAAACACTGTATTAAACTTTATAAAGCATTTTTTCACTCTTCCTGTAACAATTAAGAGCCATTTAGGCTATTCTTATGTAAAAAAACAATATGTTCTGTAATACGAACTATTCAACAATCCGAACTACCCCCGGTCCCAATTAGTTCGGATTAAAGAGGTTCTACTGTACTCAAAAAGCCAAGAAGCTGTATGAATATATTTAGAAAGTTGGTGTTGTAGTAATGAATAATTTATTTTCTTTTTTATGGATCCAATGAAGTATCTTGTTTACAGCATTTATTGTATTCCTCTTGGTCATGAGAGGTTCCAACACGACATACAGCTCAAATCCAACAGTCATCTGAAATTAAACTATACATAAGTCCACAGCAATATTTTGAACAATCAAACCTAGACCTAAATGAAACATCTTACAGCACTATTCCAGACTTCGAACTCAACAATAATTACTGTGTACAATAAACATTTATTTTAAAGCTAAATATGAACTGTTACAAATGCTGTTACAAAAACTTGCAAAAGTTTAAATTACTTTTGAATCGTAATTTTCACAGCTATGAGAGTTATACAATTTTGTTAAGAATTTAAAGAGCTATAACATACTAAAATTTTATCAAAATCGTTCGGGCCATTTTCAAGAATATTCATTTTTTTTATTAATTTATGGGTTTTTATGGTAAAATAACCATTAAAAATCAAAAATTTCAAAAAAATTTAAAAAAAAAACACCAGGAGATACCTTAGTACCTACATACCAAATTTCATCAAAATTGGGCTACAGGCGTGGTCTGTAGCTCTGTACACATCTACACATACTTTTTCCTATAATCCGGTTTCAGCTTTTTTATGGAAAAACATCACAAGTTACATAAACTTTTGCACCGTATTATTGACAGAAATGGGCTATTTTGGAGAAAATCTTATTGTCCTGTTATTTTATGGGTTTTTATGGAAAAATCACTAATAAAAAATTAAACAAATATACGCCTGGAAATACCATGGATTAGTACCTACATACCAAATTTCATGAAAATTGGACCACAGGCGTGGTCTGTAGCTCTGTTTTAAACATCCACACATACAGACAGAAAGACACACAAATGGACTGACGCCACTTCAAAAACCACTTTTTTGGGTTAAAGGGGAACCAAAACGGTTATATCCACTCAAACTTGAAAACTTTGATAAAAACAATACTTTTTCCATATACTATAGTAGGGGAAGAAAGTAAATAAGTGGTATCAGCAATGTGACACATACTTTCTCTCATTATCTTGTCAACAACCTTCAACAACACGGGTAAGCGCTAAGCAGTGGGAGTAACTATGACATTTAATAGGAAAAATCAAACAAGTTGAAATAATGTTTGAACCGTTATTGTTTCAGCAGTGGGGGTTGCATCATTTTTTTTATTATAAGGGCCATAACACATTTATTATAATATAAACCAGCTTTTTCCTAAAATCCTGTTTTCAGTTTATTTATGGGAAAATAACAGAAGTTACAATCACTTTTGGAGCGTGAATTTTACAGAAATGGGATTTCTACTATTTTGATCAGAATTTTAAGGACTAAGTTATTACATACTAAATGTTAAAATGCTTAAAAATGTCAAAATCGTTCAGGCCATTAAAAAAAAATCTGATTTTCCCATCATTTTATGGGTTTTTATGGAAAAATCACCATTAGAAATCAAAATTTCAAAAAATAAAAATAAACGCATGAAGATGGTCTTGGATAGTACATAACATACCAAATTTAATCAAAATCTAACTACAGGTGTGGTCTATAGCTCTACACATCCACACATACACTCAGACATCACTTCGAAAACCACTTTTGTGGGCTCAGGGGGACCCATAACGTACATCCACTCAAAACTTAAACTCAAAAATTTTGATGAAAACAATACTTTCTCCATATTTTATATTGCTGGCTTTCAATAATTTAGGTTTATTCTTAGGATCAGGACAAACCAAAATATTGATAATCAGTAATAATCCTATACTCTAATATGAGCAATGTTTGCTTGTATGTAGGTATGTATGTATGTATGTATGTATGCTTGCACCAAGATCTCGAAAACGGCTCCGACGATTTTCTTCAAATGTTGTAAACAGTTTATTCCTGGCCTAAAAACGAGTTTACTGCAGATAGATTTGCCAACTAAAATCTAATAACGTAGAAAAAAGAAACTGAAAGTCACATTTTTTTAACATTAGTCTTACGGGTTGCTAAGTAACCATCTTGGCTGAATTAAATGACAAGGAAAAAGTAAACAAAAGACATGTAAGTTAACTGTCTATCCACAGTATACTAGCAAATTAAAAATACAGTACAAAAGGAAAAACATCAGTTGTTACTATTGAGCAAAGATTATACTGAAGATTAATCGATGCATTGTAGTCAAGGGTAGCAGTGAGGAGTGTGGGATCTGTTTATGACGATTAGATAAAGGTATCTGCAATCCTTAAATACTATGGGAAGTGAAGGAAACAGGTCCGCGACGTAGGAAGTGATGAAGGAAGTAGTAAAGGCGAGCAGTCCGGAGTGTGGGAACTGTTTATGACGATTATATTAAGGTATCTACAACAATCCTAAATAATGCCATGGGAAGGGAGGAAAACAGGTTAGCGAAGTAGGAAGTGATGATGGAAGTAGTTAGGGTAGGAAGTGGTGAAGGAAGTAGTAAAGGTGAGCAGTCTGGAGTGTGGGAACTGTTAGATTAAGGTATCTGCAATCCTAAAATGCTATGGGAAGGGAAGGAAACAGGTCCGCGACGTAGGAAGTGGTGAAGGAAGTAGTAAAGGAAAGCAGTGTGGAGAGTTGGAACTGGGAACCGTTTGTAGCAGTTAGATTAAGGTATCTGCAAAACTGAAATGCTATGAGGAGGGAAGGAAACGTGTCCACGACATAGGAAATGGTGAAAGAAGTAGTAAAGGCTAGCAGTGCGGAGTCCGGGGAATGTTTGTGGCAATTATATTAATTTATCTAAAATACTAAAATGCTATGGAAAGAGATGAAAACAGGTCCACGACCTAGGAAGTGGCGTAGGAAGTAGTAAAGTTTAGCATCGCAGAGTGTGGGAACTGTGTGTGGCAGTTAGATTAATCTTCCATCCTAAAATGCTATGAGGAGGGAAGGAAACAGGTCCATGACGTAGGCTATGGTGAAAGAAGTAGTAAGACCACCAGTGCAGAGTGTGGGAACTGTCTGTGGCAATTATGTATCTGTAATTCTAAAATGGTATAGGGAAGGAGGGCAAACAGATCCACGACGTAGGGAGTGGTGAAGTAAGTAGTAAAGGCGAGCAGTGTGGAGTTTGGGAATGGATTAATCCATCTGCAATACTAAACTGCTTTCAGAGTAAACTAATGATTTTCCCCGAGCAAAGCTCGGTCCTCGGGTACTTGTCTATTAGATAGGTACATTATTACATTATATGTAAAAAATAGATGTGAAATAATAAATCAAAATTGTACTTAATAAAGGTTTGTGTTAAACTTAAATAATTCAATGAGATCAGTGAGTTACTCACTGTAGGCCTACCTACCAAAAAGATAATATTTTATTAATTAGAGCTTACAAATTAACTCTTTGTAATAAAACATTACTAGATAAATTAATTGTGGAATAAATCAATTTGTAAATAGTCTAAAACTCATTATAAATTAGATTTACATGTTCAGCGGGACTTAACCCTTCCCGGACGGGTGACGGATATATCCGCCTTTTGCGATAAAGGACGGGTGGCGGATATATCCGCTTATGGTTTTTGATGTTCCGGATGAGAAGCGGGTATATCCGCCTTCTCTTCAGACAGACTGGCAGGTGCTTGAGCAGTAACCAGATGTCTCGCGGTACCACGGCGCCACTTTCCTGCTCTCTTCATGGCTAAGCTCTCTCCCGCGCCTTCCCCTCTCCCGCGCCATCCCCTCTCCCGCGCACCCCCTACCTCTCCTACGCTCCCCTCTTGACGTTTCGCGCTCAGCACTACGTTGTCTTTATTCATTGTTTACATATTGTTCTTTATTTCTTGCCTAACGTTGTCATGGCCTATATCTTCAAAGACGGGTGGCGGATATATCCGCTGCTTTATACTCATCGGCAGACGGGTGCGGATATATCCACATAGTTAAAAACAAGTACAAAATTATTTTGACAGTGTGAAGTGTTCCATTGTGTTTATTTTATGTACTATACTTTTATAACAAAATACAAATAAGGAAAATTAATTTTTATTTTTTCCCGTTCTATGTCACAATTTTGTTCGTCCGGGAAGGGTTAAATGATAACGACGCATCGGTTTTTCCGATGCATCGGGAACCAATCGATGCATCGAGGTAAAAATCTATGCATGCTGAATCAAAATTTTAATGCATTGCACACCATTACCACATATTATGTATAGGGGGAGAAAGTAAAAATGACTGACATCAGGAGGGTTAAGACCATTTCAAATAAATATATAGGTGTATGGGACATAAAAATTAAGTTCCGAGTGTGTAGAATTGCCCAAAATTGTTGGTTTGAAAAAAGGCCAATTTCCAAAGAGTTACATATGCTTTCGATTGAAGTTTACATTAAAAATAATTAAATGAACAACACAGCTGGTCGATGCAATTAACAGCTATTTGTTTATAAAACAATCGGGGATCAGTCCAAATTGTTGTATGAAACTACTAACCCAGCCGAGCATGGTCTCGTTGTCCAACAACTGATAGACCAGTTTCAGTGTTTGTCCCCGCCGGTGTAAGATACTGTGCAGTTGTTGGTACAAGCTCCAAAGTCGCCCCGCCTGGTCCTCCGTATGGTACGGGGCCTCCAATGTCGGGGACCACATCTGCTGGCTACAACCCCATTAATTCACAATCAGGCATTATATATACACCATAGACACTTGCTAATCTGACATGTTAACAAACTTTGACAGTACTTGATTAATCAAGTTCGAGACAGAGAAATTAGTGCAAAACCTAAACTTAGGCCTACACATTTTTTGGTAGGCCCTAACTTTTTTCAAGATAATGAAAAGTGCATGTTAGACCCTATAAATGTTTCAAAAAATGTTTTACACACAGGGAAGAAAATAAGTAGAGTGTTAGACCATATAAATGTTTCAAAGAATGTTTTACACACAGAAGAAAATAAGTAGGTGTTAGACCCTATAAATGTTTCAAAGAATGTTTTACACACAGAAAAAAAGGAGTGAGCTTAGTTGACCTTGTATTTGAAATTATTCATGTTGGTATTGATAAATTTTGATCTACTTTAGTCTACTATATTACATGTATTGTGATAATGAATATGATAATAAGTAAGGAATTAGGCCTAGAGTTGATTAATTAATATTATGAAATATAAACGTACATGGCCCAGTTACACAGGTTTAACAAAAGGGAGCGAGCTAGGCAATGGTAGAACATGGGTAACTTCAGTCCTCGAGATCCCGGGTGCAAATCCCACCAATAACCAATAGCTTTGACTATGTGATAATGCTGCAACGCTAAATTTAATTGTAAAACATGCTATAGCCTAGGGAAGGGGTCTCTAACCTACGGCCCACGGGACACGTCCCGCACCCAAACTGATTTTATCTGGCAACATCCGTAGGTAAATGTTTTAGTCTCGGTGATATTGTGTCGTTATTCACGATCGCGGTAACTCGGGGATATCTTGGTCGTCACTCACGGTCGAGGCAATACCCAAGTCAATGTTGCGGTCTCGTTGATATTGTAATCGTCATTCGTGATCTCAACAACACTCTTAAGTAAATGTTGCGGTCTCCAAGTAAATGTGTTAAAAAATTTCCATTATAGAAAAAAATACTAATATCATGGTATATACTAGGCTATACCGTTAAATTAATTTAGGGCCTATATTAAGGGTCTCATGAATTTAAATAATCATAAGCCTACTTATATTATGACGAAGTATAAATAAATATGACAAACACAGTTTATATAGGCTACCTATAATTAACTATGTGAGGTAGGTAAATTATTTTGTTTGGTCTTGGTCACATTATTATTCGCACAAAAACGTACAGAATTGTAGTAAGTCAAAAGGTTATAAAGGAACAAAGAATCTAAAAAAAATGTTCAAACTTCATCGTTGAGCTCTTAATTAGAAAACTACCTCTTTGTGGGTTATTTGGAGCGTGCTACCTTTCTACACTGAAATGTTGACAGTCCGGCCCTTCCTCCAAAATTGTCAAAATTCAATTGGAGGTTGAATATGAGCATGTCGTGACATATATTGAAAGCTAGCTTAAGTATGTTCTGCATACCTTGCTTTACATTTATACAGACAGTGTCGGAGCCCAGGTACTCCCAGCTCCGAGACGGATGTGTTCCTTTCTGCCAAAGAACTGTTGATGGCTTCCAGACTGTTGTTACGACGCAGCCGCTGCAGCAAACACAACAAACTACAGATTGCATACAACAGTACGAAACAACTATTATTAGTTGGTTTGTACTGTAGTCCTTAAAACACATAATAAGTAAGAACATACTATTGACATCAGAAAAAGTTACTTAAAATTAAGAATCACAATTTTATGCACCAAATCCCAGAAAGCAGCAACTACTACTTTGTGTGTATGAATGTATATAAATGTGAATTGTAACTAAATTACCTCCAATATTTAATATTCAACAATAATAATCATGGCAAATAATTGTATAAAAAATATTTAAATGTAATTTAGGAATAAAATTAGTGAATAACAAGAAAAACTATATCCAAAATAATATGCTAAAATGAAATAATTATACAAGTGCCTGGGTCATAAATATTTCCTATATACTGTCTAGGTGCAACATGTGTTAGGTTGCATTGTTGAAACAAATGAAATGAAATGTGGTTTTGGTAAAAAAAAACCTTGATGAAATAAGGATGTGGGAGCCAAGTCTCCAGTGATTAATTAATACTAGCTGCTGTACCCGTGCTTCGCAACGGGAAAAAATCAGTTTCATAATCATTTAAATAGATTTCGAATAAATAAGCCATCATAAAGTTTAAGATTAAAATAAACCTGTGTAAAATATTATTTTTTTTTTATCAGCTGTCTGAAATTGTGAAATAGGCATTTGACAATTCTGGTTGTTTACATTTAAATGTCAAAGCAAAGGTAAACATTGTGAATTTTCTCATGCTTCCATGGAGACCAATTTTTAATATTTAATTTCTGACAACAGCTGGAGTTTCATAACAATGTTTGTTTCCCATGTTAATCTTGTGGAGAAATGCGAATCTTTAAAGGGCCTCAGGGCCTCACTCTCTAATTATTTCCCTAAGAAGAAAGTTTCCTGCACAACTTCACGTTACGCTCTTTCAAATGACACCAAAAACATGTCAATCGGTTCAGTAGTTTCGGAGGAGTAATTGTCACAAAAAACCTGCTTGCGTATTAAATAAGTATAGATTATTCAAAAGTTTAGAAAATTAATTAAGAAGAATTTAATATTTATAACAAGAAACCTGAACGAGAAGATTTTGAAGCAGAACATTGGTAATATCTTAGTATAAACATTTAAAACCACCACCTTTACTCCCTTGTGAACTCTAAATTTCATTCAAAAACATTTCATCATCCTATTAGAACAAAATTTGAAGCAAAATTATTCTTTTAGTTATTCAAGATGTACCATCAAGAAATTTAACCCTCCGAGTGTCATGCGTCGCTGCAGCGACTCACGAACACTGTTTACGGCGAAGGCTCTATGACTGACAAAATCGGATTGAACTGGATCGAGTTAGGTATCGTTCTTTTCGTTATATTCTAAGCTTTCTCCAGAGGTCTGTCTCTAAGCGCTGTATGTTCTCCGAGCCGATCGTAATTGTAGCAGACAGCTGACGTGCGTATTTGTAAACAGGTTAGTTAACCTCGGACCGATGACTGATGTGTTTTATTACGTTTATCATTGTTTTAGTGTTAAAAATCAAAAGTAGTGATATACGTGGTGCATTATAAGAAGATTTAAGTGATCTTGAAGGGCTGGTTGATGATCCTGAAGAAGTAGGTAGTGATATTGATGTAAATTATCAGCCAGATTCCTAGCTATGGTTAGGCTATGCATTCTTAGCTAAACACTATGTACTGAAATCTGTTTTTTGCCCATAACTTATTTATTTGTAAATATACTTCCTTATATTATTATATATTTGTAATCCTCATAAAATTTAGAACAAAGCGGCTATTTTCAAATATTTATAGGCCTATAATTTATACAATTTCATTGAGCGCGAACTTTTTTTTTTGAAAATTTTCCAAAATAAATTTTTTTTTTTACCTAAATAATTTTTTTTGAAACAAATGTTTCTTATGTTCTTTGTATAATATTGAAGCCCATGATTTTCCAAACAAAATGGTATATAGAACAGTATAATTAACATTGTTTTCAAGCTTCTCAGATCCGTTTTAATAAAACCTTGCAAATGAGCAAAAAATAGGCAGACATTAAGGCCAAAACAAGGGACACTCGGAGGGTTAAGAATCCCATTTATTGAGTTAGAAGATAGAAATTAAAGTGACTGTTCCATAGACTAAGAACTTGTACATTTTTTACTCATAACTTAGAAGCCTTAGAAGTACTATACGGCAAATTAAGTTAAGTAGCCTATTTAACTATCAGAATTTCAATACCCGGCACGAAACCAGACCCTAGTTTACAATTTTTGCTCTACCAAATTGTTATTTTAGCCAATTCCTAAAACCTAGTCTAAAATATAACTGACCTAGCCCACAATATTGTAAAGTAGGTTATAGAACCAAAAGATATCTTTGTTGTAACTTAATTGGAATTTGATTTTTTAAGTCAATTAATATCCATAAAGCCACAGTAATAATTAATGTGAAGTAGGTTGTAGTATCTTAAAATGTAAGATGGCCCTCGGAACACCGTTCCACTCAGATGACAAAATATTTTTATTATAAGTTTGTATTCAAGTCTTAATCAATCAGCTATTTGATCAGGCAAACATTAGCAATCCTGCAAGACTATAACATAAAGGGTAAAATAAATCACATATGTTTTTGAGAAACTTAACAACTCACTTCTACTATTCTTTGTTTTGCCTCGGACAAGATGAAGAAGAGGTCATGGTCTACAGTGAGAAGAAGAAGACATGCCTGACAGTCTTCTGACAAATAAGAGACATGAGCGTGCAAGAACCCGCTGGAAAATACAATTTTACATTTTAATATGCACAATAATGTCGGCTAAATGGTTTGTAAATCAACAACTAATTGATTATGAATAACAAGCCGTGCATTTTAAGTCAATTTGTTAAAATTATTTTTGCAAAGTAACAGTAGGCCTAAGGTAAAGTAAAGGTAGGATTAAAGAATAACTATGAAATAATAAAATTGCTGAGCTGACACAGCACAACTATATGTTTGATTATTTCTCTTAAAAATCAAGTCATTGTCTTGACATGTCATGGGCAAGTCATTGACATAAACCAAGAAGAGTAAGGGTCCAAGAATGGATCCTTGAGGTACACCATCTGTGATTGATCTATAATCAGACTTAATCTCCAGTGAGTGCAAATGTATACACTGTTTTCTGCTGGATTGAAATGAAACCAACCATTTAATGGTCCTGCCTGATAATTAAAACCCTCCAAAAGTCCAGATGTATACGGAATGAATGTGACTGTCCTTAAAACCATCATTGATAGTATTGCCTTCCCACTTTGCAGGGTCATAAATCTGTGCCTAAATGCAGGATTCTTTCCTAAGAGCACAAAAGTGTCACGAACAGTGGCCATCTTCAAGAAAGGTGATCCTTCTAGTATGACCAGTTACCGCCCAATTTCGATCATACATACCTATGTTAGCCATTGTCATGGAAACTGTTATAAAGTGTAGGTTGTAGAGTACGGTACTTATCAAATCAAATAATCTTTATTCATTTTTTTGTATTTACATGAATACATTGAATAGAGTCACATTTCTTATAACTAATGACCTTAATTAAAATATGATGGTTACAAATAAAACTGTTTTATGTTGTTGTATGACAATGACACTAATAATTCTTTTTTTTTATTTTACATTCCTTGAATTAAAAAAATCTTTACTTGAAAAGATAGGATGAGTCAATAGGTATTCTTTAAGGCGGGTTTTGAAACTGGTATATTTTTCTTCACAAAGAATATTCTTAGCTAGATTATAAAGAAATTTAGTACCAATAAAAGTTGTTTTATTTTCAAAAATCTGTAATTTATGCGGTTCTACATATCTGTTATTTCTCAAGTTGTATGTATGTGATTTTTTACTGTATTTTAGTGTGTTTAATTTTTTTACATGTAAAATGGTTTCAAATATATATAGGTCATAAACCGTCATGATTCCTAATTTGGAAAAATATGGTTTTGTGGATTTTCCATTTGTTATATTAAAGATAATTTGTAATGCTTTCTTTTGCTGTTTCAGAATTTTTTTATGGTTTTTATTGCTAGTCCCGCCATATATAGCAATACCATAAGCTATATGCGAGTTTGACTTAGAGCATAACAACTTGCTTTCCGACCTGCAACATGGTTTTAGGCAGGGTAGGTCAACTGCTCCTGCAGCTTCTGATCTTACCAAGAAAATACAATTAAGAGATGCTTTTGAAGCCAAGGAGTCTGTGGCCTTGACCCTGTGCGATTTGTCAAAAGCGTTTGATGTGGTATCCCACCGGATCCTTGTTGACAAGCTGAGAGGTTATGGTTTATTGGTTTGGGGGGGGGAAGCTCGCTCAACACTTGTCTCGTACCAGGACAATCGAAAAAAAAATTGTATCCCTTGGTGATGCACTGTCTGGTCCACTCAAAGTTGTGCATGGCGTACCCCAGGGCTCAGTAATAGGACCTATCTTATTCCTGGTGGCTATCATTGACCTAGAGTTGGAGGGTAGGGCGCTAAGATTTGCCAATGACACGACACTTGTAACAATTGGAAGAAGTCCAAGCGAAGCGATAGAAGAATCTTAGCATTTGTTTGCAGCTGCTAGAGAATGGTTTAACCAGAACGTTTAAACTTAATGACGATAAGACACCGAATCTGACATGCTCTCTAACGCCATCACTTGAACAAGTGTGGAGAAATGTCTCCATAATATAAAATACCATAAATGTCTAGTATTTGTGTTTCTGTATCATGTTTATTGTTTGTTTATTTATTATTTTCGTGTTAAGCCATATGACGCTCTCTCTTCGTATGAAGAAAGAAAACCGTCCTTGTACAGGCTGATGATGGTGCCATACAGGTACCGAAACTAGTTGTGTTTACAACAAAATTGGATTGCCTAATAGCAGGTATTTGAACCTATTTAATATTATTTGGCAATCCAGAGGCTAACATCTACAATGACAATATTAATTCCTAGTCGGCTTTAAAATAGCAGAATTTTAGACATACAGTACCTGGAATCAAAATTAGGTAAACAGATGGGAGTCCAACTCTCGGCAGTCTTGAACGATTCCGATGCGGAGACGAGATTGAGGACAAGATGAAGATCAGAAGCTTGCAAGCTATACTTCTTCATCCTCACCATGGTTACCAGCTGATTGTCAGCTATTAGGATGGCAAACACCAGATTCTGTGAATATAAAACTTAGTTTAAATAATTTATACGAAAGTATGCTTCAAGTACAGAACCAGTTACACTTCAGATATACTGCTCTAAAGTTGATTGCAAAAAATGTGTTAAAGAAAAAGACTGTTTACATGACCTGTAATAGAAATAGTAAATTATTTAAAAAATCTTAAGACAGTTTTTTAAGGTTGGCGGCCTTATAACCTTGCATTTTCCCTGTCCACGGCAATTGGCCTCGGGCCTGTGGGTGTAACATATAAAGGAAGGCAAAAGGATAAGCTGGTACGGTACCTACATGCAGGGGCGTCGCCTTGGGGGGGGGGGGTGGGGGGAGCCTCCCCCCCTAGAATCTGGGAAAGAGAAAAGTTGGGAATTTCTTTGCCACGAGTTGGGACAGTTGGGAAGTCAGATACAAAAAAATATATTTTTAAACTAAATAAAATTTAAATATTTGCAAAAATCCATCAAAGATAAAAATTTCTTTGACTTGGACAAATAAACTTGATGTTTCTTTGATCTAATTTAACTTTGATTAAACTAGGTAGGCTAAACCATGGCTAAACACGCATTATTTTAAGAAATAAATAATCAATTAGCGGTATAGTTTGTTGGAATTTCGTTTACGAGAAATTTTGTTCCTTATTGGACGTATGTTGGCTACCTTGATCCTGTCCTGTGTTGATGATTCTGAATGATTCGTCTGCGAGTTTGAATTTAGAAAGTGCAAGCGATGTAGCTCTTCAGTTCAGTTATGTTGTTTGTTAGTGTTTAGAAATTAAAAAATATTTTTCACGTCAGTCACATGAACTATATTTTATACCTTTTTTTGTAGTATTTGGAGAAGGCTAACTGACAGGAGTACTTGCTAATAAGTAGATTAAAATAACATTAAACATAGGTTTTGTGTATCGGTATTACTTTTAAAACTCTTATATTTAATAACCTAAATAAAATATTTATTCTCTGAATATATTTAAAAATTCTACAAAAGTTATTTATCATTCCTAATTGAGGATTTACAAAAATGAATCAACTAATCACTCTGAAAAAGATCTACGTGGACAAAACATAACCTAAAATTTGATGTTTGACTTTCACGTCTAAGTTCTAGTTTGATGAAGATGAAGGTTAACATTTTTATTGTATGTACAAGTTTATTATCAACCAAGTTGAACGTTTTTATTTTATATGAGTCTTATTTTAGGTTTATTCTTTTCTAGACTAGAATAATAGTATTCACGACACTGATATTAATATTTCATCATTACAAAACTTGTTTAGGCCTAGTTGTAAGTTTTATGAAAGTTAAAGTGTTGATCTTAATATCAACTTATGAAAGTACAAACGAATAACTGTGAAGGATAAATTTTCAAAACTACATATTTTGACTGTCTATGATCAGTATATAGTAGAATGTATTATGTGTGTCAAAAATCAACTACACAATTTGGAAATTAGAAAAAATGTCCATTCATATGACACTAGAAATAAGAATGATATAAATTTATCAAAACATAACCTCAGCTTCTTTGAAAAAAAGGGGACCTTTATGGGATCAAAATTTTTAAACCATCTTCCTACAAAATTAAAAAGTAAAATAAACCAAAATAATTTCAAAAAACTAGTTAAGAATCATCTGTTGCAAACGAGTTATTATTCATTTGAAGAGTTTTTTCAATGTAAAAACGACTAAATAAATAAGGTTGAGGTGCTCTGATGGAAAAAAATAATAAAATGAAACTGCATGCGGTTCCTACTTTTCTGTAAATCGAAATCAAAATGCATACAAATTAGTTATAGTCTGACACTATTCATGTATGTATATACAACATGAATAAAGAATTTTTGATTTGATTTGATTTGATTTGAAGTATTTCAATTTCATTATTTTGTAATAAAATATTTTTTCTATACTAATTTGTGCAAGGCTTATTTTATAACCCTAAAATTTTACACTGCTACGTCTGCTACCACAATGGTTTGTAAAGTTTTTTGGATTCGAAACAATACTTATTAAAGTTTTTTTTAGTCATAATTGAGTTGAGTAGTTTTGTATATATGTAAAACTAGCTATGTTTTTTAATGCATGTTAATAAATACTGAATTGAGTATGACTGCAGTATAGTATAATAATTTGTAGATTTTTAAAAATAGTACAGAAATTGATTTCTTAAAATAAAAAATAGTTGGGAAATCTATGTTAAGCAGTTGGAAAATTTGAGGCTTCTCCCCCCCCCCCTAGAATTTAACCAAGCAGCGCCACTGCCTACATGGGTGAACCGTACTCAAAAAATTTGGTGTAGTGATGTAAATGCACTCCGTGTAAGACTTTTGGACTCCAGGCTATATACCCTTTTGTGTTTTCCAGCACTATTGGTATTTTTTAACAGTCTGATTCCTACTTTGTTTGTATATTAATTTCAAGCTTTTGGTAGATAGTAGTTAAACCAAGTGATGAACTTGGTCCTTATGACATAACAGCTGTTATGTATTTATTGTGTGTGTGGATATTCCTTGTGGAGTAACTTTATGTCTAAGGTAAATTACACTTTCAGCACATATTCAATACACTATTGTAATTTTTTAATATTAGGGATGGACGGGTCCCGAAATTTCGGGAATTTTATATTCCCGATTATCGGGACGGGATAACATTTTATTCGGGAATTTTTCAGGACGGGATTGGTCCGATCGTCGGCGATTTTGCCGCTTCGCGAGTGCCGATGACGCCGCTATTGCGAGCGATAGGTCCGCGAACGCAGGAGACGAAGTCATAACGACGATCGCGCCGTGACCGCGGAGTCATAACGACGATCGCGCCGTGACCGCGGAGTCCTACCGACGATCGCGCCGTGACAACGAGTCATACCGACGATCGCGCCGTGACCGCGAGTCATACCGACGATCGCGCCGTGACCGCGGAATCATAACGACGATCGCGCCGTGACCGCGGAGTCCTACCGACGATCGCGCCGTGACAACGAGTCATACCGACGATCGCGCCGTGACCGCGAGTCATACCGACGATCGCGCCGTGACCGCGGAGTCCTACCGACGATCGCGCCGTGACCGCGGAGTCATACTGACGATCATGCCGTGATGGCGAGTCATACCGAGGATCACGACGTGACCGAGGAGTCCTACCGACGATCGCGCCGTGACCGCGGAGTCATACCGACATCGGAGTCCTACCGACGATCAGAGTCATACCGACGATCGCGCCGTGGCCGTGGAGTCCTACCGACGATCGCACCGTGACCGCGGAGTCATGCCGACGATCGCGCCGTGACCGCGGAGTCATACCGACATCGGAGTCCTACCGACGATCAGAGTCATACCGACGATCGCGCCGTGGCCGTGGAGTCCTACCGACGATCGCACCGTGACCGCGGAGTCATACTGACGATCGCGCCGTGACCGCTGAGTCATACTGACGATCACGACGTGACCGAGGAGTCCTACCGACGATCGTGCCGTGACAACGAGTCATACCGACGATCGCGCCGTGACCGCTGAGTCATACTGACGATCATGCCGTGATGGCGAGTCTACCGACGATTACGACGTGGCCGTGGAGTCCTACCGACGATCGCGCCGTGACCGCGGAGTCATGCCGACGATCGCACCGTGACCACGGAGTCATGCCGACGATCGTGCCGTGATCGCGAGTCATACCGATGATCATGCCGTGACCGCGTGTCATAACGACGATCACCCCGTGACCGCGGAGTAATACCGACGATCACGCCGTGACCGCGGAGTTATTCCGTCAATCATGCCGTGACCGCGAGTCATACCGACGATCACCCCGTGACCGCGGAGTCATACCGACGATCACGCCATGACCGCGGAGTCATACCGACGATCACGCCGTGACCGTGAGTCATACCGACGATCGCGCCGTGACCGTGAGTCATACCGACGATCGCGCCGTGACCGTGAGTCCTACCGACGCTCATGCCGTGACCACGAGTCATACCGACGATCACCACGTGATCGCGGTCATTTTGACCACGAGTCACAAGTTTCTATAGGTACCTGTAAATTGTTACCCATATTTTGGTTTTTATAGATTAGTGCCACAAACGGTAAAAATTGATTTCGTATGTCTTTTTTGGTAACTGCAATACTCAAGACTTTCTTTTTATGCATAGAAAAAAATCCCGTCCCGTCCCGTCCTGAAAATCGGGAAGGAAATAAAAATCCCGTCCCGTCCCGAACCAAAAATTTAATCCCGTCCATCCCTATTTAATATACAATTTGTGTCTATGGAATAAAGATGATTTGATTTGATTATTATTGTTTATGTTGGTTGAATTGCTTTGAAATATTTCGGCCAACTTTGTTACAGCAGACTACCGTATGGATTGAATAAAGCTCCATAAGTGTATCAAAAAGCAATGGATTTTGTAATGTCTAGTTTAGATGGAGCAATTTCTAATATAGATGACATTCTCATGTTCGGGAATACTAAAGAGGAACATGACAAACGATTGAAAGAGTTTCTAACAATAGCTAGATGCTTTGGACTCAAGTTGTCTAGAGATAAAAGTGAAATATGTGCTGAAAGTGTAATTTACCTTAGACATAAAGTAACTCCACAAGGAATATCCATAGTTGAATCGAGGTTCAAAGCAACCAGCAAAAACAATAACAAACAATAATAATTAATACATAAGACCTGTTATGTCACAGTCCTGACTCCATATAATAATTCTCAATATTAAGAACCATTGATGCAGCAAAGCATTACACCGATTTGTCTTACTGTAAGTTGAGTTCTTGGAGGCTAGCCGTGAAAACTTATATCTCATAGCGCTTTAGATATTTAATTGCAATTATTTCGGTGATAGGAAAAAATATTTTGGGATGGTAAATAACTCTTCAGCAGCTATTTGAAATTAACATTGCATATTATACAAGCCACAATCATTAAAAGAAACCTTCCTATGCGGTTATTAGATTCTATAATGTTCTTTTAATTGATTTAAAATCCACAGATG